CATACTCACCTCCTCTGGCTACTCTTTGGATCCTCTGTCCTTCTTCATGGGCAGGAAGGCCTTGCTTAGTTCTCAAGCTCAGTTTTACCCCTCCTCATCCCCATCCTTGGGTCTTCCCTCTCTCCCTTCCACCTTTCCCAGCTAAGAGGAGCTTCCGCCTAGCTACCCATGAGGTCTCTGCCATAGAGGCTACTGGTGTTCAGTAGAACAGGACTGGTGGAATGTTCTAGCTTTGAACTTGAACTCAGGCCTGAACTTGAGCTCTGTTCTCCCTCTGTCTTTGCCCCGCTGCCTCCAGCCTGTTGTGGAACCTGACTTCTGAGTTTTCTTGCCTGAAAAATAGGATGAACAGTTTGTTCTTTGGGGCACTTAAATGTATAGTCTCTGTATACTTAAAGAACTACAGAGACCCACACAACATGATGCTTATGTCACCTACAGGAAACATATTAGCAGAGTGATGGGGAAGGCCACCTCCACTTGAGTTTCCTATACAGCCCTCAGGTGTGGTGGGTTTCTCGGGGAGAAGGAAGAGTTTATTAACTAAACCTTGAGTTTGTAAAGACAATCATAGAAATGAATACTCATGTAAAATTAGAGGACAAGAGAAAGTCAGCATAGGCCACGCAGCTCAAAACAAAATAAGAAAAACAGTAGCTTTGCTCCTTTCAAAGGAAATCTGAGTCCTGACTTTCTAACTTTAGAAAGTAAAACATGTTACTAGCGGAGCATTGAAAGATAAGGGCATCTCTGGAAAACTGGAGCATTTGCCTTGAGTTCCGTACCCCAGAGAGCTGCTTCAGAGCGTGTTTGTTGCTTCATATTTTAGAGTTTTGCCCACTTGAAGCTATTTGGCCCTTGAACTTTAATTTAATGCCAGCCCCTGTACTTCCTGGGTTGTTGCAGGCTTTGATATTTAGTGTTTACCATACTGTGTACTACTGGCTTCTCACTGTTGTCTTTGACTCCTCTGAGCTGGCCTGTGGGTCAGTCTTCAGTCTATGCCCCCAACATAACCATGGGGTGATCTTGCCTATCTTCTGGGTGTACGACAGCGGGACATTGCTCTCCATGGGGAATCCTGTAACCTTGTCTCCCTCTGGCTTCTCAGAAACCTTGCCTCTCACCTTCCTTTTCTCTATCTGCCCTGTGTTCAGATGTTCTAGAAACCGCATCCTACCTGGTTCTCTAGCAGGACACAATGCTACTCTGAAGCTCAATAGGTTCCTAAGATTGTGAAGGATGAACCATAGTGGAGTCACGGTTCCCCCTAAAAGGCAGAAGCATTTGAGGCCTCTTTATCCACTGACCCATGTGGCATACCCAGAAGACCTCTTCTCAGCAGGGTACTGTGACCTCTATGAGCATAGAGCTCCCTCTGCTATTATTAAACACCAACAGCATCCCAGGTCTTCTGAGTTGGCAGTGGCACCTCCCCCAAGCTCAGTGTTCTGTCTCTGACCTGAGCAGGCTTCTCAAGGTGGGAGGGGCAGAGTGCCTGCCTCCAAAGCTTGGTCTACGCCTTTACTTGATACTGGCTGGCAAGGAAGAATGACCTAAAGCATCTGCCACTGATGTTTACTGATATGCTATGTGGTGCAGACGAACACCCAGGCCTGAAAAACTATGCCCACCGCCCAGATCGAGGGATTAGAGATTCTTTTATGTGAGAGCCCCTATCCAGTCTGGTCACTGGTCACCAGTGTGTACACGGTGGTCTCTTTCTGGTTTGTCTTCTCTGTCACCACCCCTGGGGTAGGTGTAGGGCACCTTGACTCCTATGATGTGGGTTGCTGCCATATTGTAACCCCTTCTCATTGGCTTGTTCTTCCCATTGTTTCAGACTTCCCATTTCTAGGAACCACACACATTCTAAGAGGTGGGAGGGCCACTGTCTTGTCTCCCTGAGATTGAATCTTGGCAACTTTGAGTGCATTTTCAGGGCTGGGCACCTCAACGTGCAGCCTGTGTACCTGTGCTCAGGCTGACTCTCTGGCATTCCCTTATTCTTCTTTGTTTTTGGAGCCCTTTTTTGGCATGAACCTGCAGTTGCTTCCTGTTGCCACCTCACCACAATCACCAATAGTCTACTCTTTCTGAGTGTCACAGCAGCCGGATGTGGAAAAGTGTGTGCCCGTCCAAAGGGAGGAAAACCTAGATTTGCTTCACCAGATACCACCTCACAGATCTCAGCATGGACACTGGAGGTGTCTTCAAGGAAAAGGACATTCTCCTGGAGACAGTTTTAATCAGACAGTTCTAGCTGTTACGTTAGTCGGTGCCCAGAGCTAGAAAATGGAGAGATGGTGAGGCACAGTGAGGATTCTGGGATGGATTCTGACTGCTTCTTTTGGTGCCAGATCTGAGGGAGGTGGGAAAGCCCAGGACAGGTCACTGGTGTGCAGACCCTCTGAAACAGGGCTGTTAGAGGCATGAAGACAGTTCTAGAGAATAAGCATCCTGCTCTAAGGCCTGTTTCATGCTGTGCATTTATCCTGGTGCCCTGTTCCCAACTGGGCATCCTCTATAGCAGGATCCCCAGAGCTCACTGCCAGGCCAGCGTGGCACACTAGAGGGGCCTTGGTTTCTGAGCCAAGCTGATTTCACACCTCAGGTAGGAAACCAACCTAGTGGAGATCAGGCACATGAATCTCCCAAACCACCTCCCCAGGTCAAAAGGAAGAAAGGCCAAGTTTCACTTTGCACACCTTCCTGTGATCTTCATGCACTGGCATGATGTCATGTGTGCCAAAGTACTGTGAGTAATGTTGGGGGTTGAGTAGAGGTGATATTGCTGCAGGAGGCTCCTCGTCATGAGAACTTAGGGCTCCTAGCTGTGAATGTAAAGGGGGCTGAGCCTCCTGTGTGTGATACCGATAGGTCCTGTGTGGCAGAGACATGCCCTTGACCGCAGGCCCACTTTGTGTTTCGTTTCATAGCAGCCACAGAGTTAGCATCATGTCTTGCTTTCCCAGGGAAAGGTTTAAGGTCAGTCATTTGCCCATGTCCATAGGATGGCTGTCACCTTCCCCCCCTGACTGCTTCAGGGACAACATCATGTATTTGAGCTGAGTCCTCGGTCTGGTTCTGGGGAGGGGAGAGGCTTCCTTTCTTACCCTCTCTGCAATTACTCTGGGCAACTGCAAGTATACATGTAAGGCAGTTGCATGCCCCTCTGGGTGGAGTGTGGTGCCTTCCGTGTCCTGAGGTGCCTGTGTGCTGTGGGGGTCACGCACTGCAGACTGAGGACCAAGGTGGCTGTGGTGCTGGTGCAGAGTGGGGCTGTCCTGGAAGCAGGACTCAAATGTGCCATTTCTTTTCATTTCATCTGCCCTCACTCAGTTTGGGGTGAACATTGCAAGCATTATCGTCACTTTACCATAGGGTCTACAGCTATGGGGGAGTCATGCGCGACCCCAGATCCATTCAGGTGCCTAAAATGGGAGGACAAGGTGGTGGGGTTCCAGACACAGCGGGAGCTGCCCCGCTTCCTAGGCAGACTCAGAGGCAGTCCCGTCCTGTCTTTGTCCTTGGTCCCTTCTCTCTTCCACACCAGCCCTGCATTCTGCTGTGTAGCTTCAGTCTAGGTTCTGGGCACTGGCTCCTCAGTGGACTTAGCAAATGGCCTGTCATAGCCATGATGCTTGGAGGGGGAAGACGCACTAAGGAGACCCTTGCATCACCAGGCACATTGGTGACTCAGCCCCCACCTGTCAATGGAATGTCACTGCGAACTTTACATTTAAAGAGACTGCTTGAGTTTTACTTATTTTTTAAATTTAAATGATTTTGGGTATTATGTGTTCATTTGTGCTTGGAGGTACACGCACGCATGCGTATGTACAAGTGTGTGGAGGCCAGAGGTCGCTGTTGGGGGGTCTTCCTCTGTTGTTCTCTACCTTATTTTTTTCTGAGACAGGATCTCACTGAGCCTAGAGTTCATGAATTTAGCAAGACTAGCTGGCAAGTACCAAGGACTCTCCTGCTTCTGCCTCCCCAGTGCAGGGATCCCAGGTCTGTGCTGCTGCACCCAACTTTTTACATGAGTGCTGGGGATCTAGCTAAGCCATCTCCCCAGCCCCTCTTTATTCATTGTTTTGAGACAGAGTCTCACCACATAGCCCAGGCTGGCCTTGAACTTACAATACTTCTCCCTCATAGAATCCTAAGGGAGCACTATCACATGTGTTTTTAACTTACATCTAAAGTGTCAGCAAACCCTAGTTTGGTGTGTGTTTTCAGATTACATGGTAACTTGAAATATTATCACCTTTGTAGCCTGCTGCGGGTTTCCCCCCATTGCCCAACTATGAGAATTCCCGGGAAGAAATTTTAAAAAGCTAACAGACTCTAGCCCAGACATATCTTTCTCTTCAACAAGAGGAAGATCAAATTTGGCTAAGAGAGGGGCCATGGGCATCTGGGTCAGGAGTAAATAAATGCCTGTGGAGTTTCTGGCAGGGGCACTATTGGGATGCTAAGTGTTTATTCTTGGCGTTTAAAGTAGGGTTTTTCCCACATTGTCAGGTTAGAACTGCATTCCCTGGGATGCTGTGGGTGCATAGAGAACTCAGAGCAGGACCAGGGCTGGGATTTAGCAGATCCTGGGGCTGAGGATCAGTAGCCTTGGGGCTGGGGTTCAGCAGCCCTGGGGCTGAGATTCAACAATGCCCAGAACCAGAGTTCAGCAGGCCCCTCCAAGCTCAAGCTCAGCCACATCTTTCCTGTCCAAGCACTGCAGGCCAGGTCTTATTGTCTGGTCCTGCCCCACACTCCAAGGCTTGTTCAGGAAGGAGTGTCCTCACTTGTTACAGCGTGTCAGAGGAGGCCCCTGGGTTTGTAATCTGCCTATAGCAGCCCTGATGTCTGCCTAGAGAGTTGACTAGTGATGACATAGTGTCTGTGAGCAGTTTTAAGATGGGTGTTATCAAGGGTCTCTGCACTACTCCGTGAGGGTCCTGTCAGCAGCCCATTTGTCTCTCTCCTCATTGGCTCCTCAGGTGATGAACCCCTGGGCGGAAGGCTCCGAAAGCTGAGCCTCGGACAGTATGACAATGATGCTGGGAGCCAGCTGTCCTTCTCCAAGTGTGGATGGGGAAAGGCCAGTGTAGACCCAGCTCCAAGCTTGGGGCCATTCCCCTTGCCAACAGAGGTCAAAGAGGTATGTGCTGAGCCTGTCTGCATCTTCCCTCAACCCTTCTGGCTTTCCCGTTCTCAGGCTGGGGTTGTGGGTGGCGCTGAGGGCAGTTTCTGTGACACATCCCTGCACAAGGTTACCTACCAGTCACTGTAACTTTTCTGTCCCTGCATGTCCTCCTTGTCTCACAGACATGATGCATCAGACAAGGGTTGTGATTGGGAGCACAGGCATTTGGTCAGATGGCTTTGGTGGGGTCCAGATACTACCCAAAGATGGCTATACAGAGGGTGCCTTGCATGAGCTAGTGAAGCCTTAGTGCTCTGATTTGTAGAATGGATGCAAAGCACTCATGTGAGTTGTGATGGTTAGGAAGCACAGGCCCTTAGCAGGACTCTGTAGACAGATGGCACAGCCAGGGCAAATACAGACTTCTGGGCTATCGCATAGCCCCAAGTCCTCTCTATACAGATGATGATTGGAAGGAGGTCCACAGGCAAGAGGGTCTCCTAGGAGATGCAGTTAAGGCTTCTAATCAGCACTGGAGTAGGACAGGCTACCATACCCAAAGGTCTGACTTTATACTTTATTCTTACCTTGAACTGGAGCCTTCAGAATAGGAGAAGAAAATACTGTTTAAACTCAGAAACATACAGTGTTGAACTCTGGAATATTTCTTCTAGCCTTTGTTCTATACTGTGTGTTTAACTTACTGTGTATTTTCACTATCCATGACTGCTTGACAGTTAAGGACTCCTCAGTGCTGCTTTCCTGCTCAGTGCTGGGATGCACATCCCTTGTAATTGCAAGTCTCCTTCACCTTCATCTTCCAGCTATTCTGTACTGTATCAAGATAACTGGCTCTAAGAGCCTTCCCTTTCTTTGTACTCCAACTTCAGTGTTTGTGAGTGGCAACGGGATCTTCAGATGTGGGGTCAGTCAGTAGACCATATTGAAGGGCTGTATCTTTGTGGTAGGGACCATTCCATGACTCCCCATTTTTCTGTTCTCCTTCCATGCCCATTTCAGACAGTGATCACTTCGTATCCCCCTGACCTTGATGTGCTCGATGGCAGAATTTCAAACAGCAAGGAGGCCATGTGTCTGACCCCAGCATTCCCCATGTCTCCAGAAACTCCTTACGGTAAGAAAAAAGTAAAACTAGCTGGATACAACTTGGCACCACAGGGTAGAGAATGACAATAGCTGTTGCTGTGCTGTTTTCCAGTGAAAACACCCCAACGCTACCCTCCATTCAGCGCACCTGAGCCCCAACTGAGTACCCCAGCCAGTCTGCACAAAGGAGGAAGAGGTAAGAACTCCTGGAGGTTGTAGCTGCCCTGCTATTTGCACGATTTTGACTTCACATAAGTATCCTCTAATGTAGAAATATTTCCATGTATGTTATAGCTCAGAAACCTTGGGCAAGGGTGGGTCTTGCTGGGGAAATCGTAGGGATGTGGCTGTAGATGCACTGGTTAGGGGTTGCTGAATAGCAACAAGACATTGAGTAGCTTCCTAGTATCTTATAGGAATGTTTGAGTCCAACACTCCATGTGGCTATTTATGGTCCAGTCAGTGGAGCCTGTCCTTAGCTCAGCATAGGTGCTTAACCTTCTGGTAAATTCCCATCCATCAGGGACCTGGAAGGAGGAATGCTCTCCCCCTCACTGAGAAAGTGGATCTCAGTAAAGAGCAGGCTGTCTGCCTGTACCCTACAATGTGGACATTTCTGGGTGCTGTTGACTCAGCTGCCTGCCCATATACATTTGCTTTGGCACTTCCTATTCCTAAATACTTGGTCCTTGTCCCTTGGTCTCCACACTGGAGCCTACAGACATCTTCAGTGTTTTGCACTGTGTCCATCTGCAGGGAGGGAGTGCCAGCAAGTTGAGTGAGAGACTCAGTGTTTCTTCCAGGTAGGCTTTGTCTGTGTTTTTCAGGAGCCCAGGATGGGCCAAGCTCAGGCAGGTGACGAGAAGCCATGTACATTTTTTTGGTGATTTAATCTCACAATTTAGTTTGCTATGTGCGATTCCTTTGAAACGTGTAGGCAATCACACAGTGTCCTTGAGGCTCTAATTCCTGACTTGACTAGGCATCATCTATAGCATCTCGGTCTATCAGATGTCCAGAAGAAACTTTTTAACCTGGGCTAGCTCTTTTTAACCTGGCCTCCACATGACAATCCTTCTTACCAGCCTGGGAAAGTTCCTGGTTAGCAGCAGTACTTTGTAGAAGAGTACTTTGGCTCTAAGGTTACATGCCATCTGCATGACCTGGGGGAATTTGAAGTCTAGTGGCCACAGGGTGCCTTTGCTAGGAGCTTGGCTTCCATATTATTTTCTGAGGTATGTTTGCTCAGCTGTTCTTTGAAGGGTCTCCCCAGGATGCCACTCTCCTTGAGGCAGCATCCAAGCATCTGACCAGCAGGGCAGGGTTCTTGTCTGCCTTCTGGAACAGTCAGATTTGTTCATTTTAAAATTGACCTCTGTCACATAAGCTCCAGGTTTAAACTTTAGGAATGTCTGCTCCCATGTAGCTTCCCAGTCTTGTTCAAGCAAAACATCCCATTTATCTAGTTCATCTTCGTGGATGTCACATTTCTTTGCCATTTGCTGTACTTCATGTGGAGCACAAAGCTCATGGTGTGAGTACAGATTTTGTCTGTTTTCCTCTGCCGTGGCAGAGCCACTGTCTCTTCCTGCAGTGCAGTAAGGGGCTTGGAGATTAGCAGTGGTCACTACAGACACAAAGCACTCAGTAGGCACCATGGGGACCAACCCCTTGAAGGTGCGTCATCAAGAGCCAGACTGTGAGAACCCAGGTTTCTTTTCTGTTGCTGTGATAAACACTACAACCAAAAGCAACTGGAGGGAGGAAAAGGTTTATTTGGCTTATACTTTCATATCATAGCCCATCACTGAGGGAATTCAGAGCAGGAATGCAAGCAAGAACACAGAGACAGGAATAATGGAGAAGTGTTTACTGGCTTGCTCAGCTGACTTTCTTACAAAGACCAAACCCAGACCCAGCTGTTTTGGGAGGGTACTGCCCAGAGTGAGCTGAGCCATAATGCATCAGTTAGCAGTCAAGAAAATGCCTCATAGACATGTCCACAGGCCAGTCTGATTGAGGAAATTCCTCAGTTGAGGGTCCCTCTTCCCAGGTGTCTCCAGTTTGTGTCAAGTTGACAAAAAACAACCAGCACAACTGACCCCTTGTCATCTTTGCATACAAGCACGTCACTATTAAATTATAACATTTCCTGTCTTGTTTATCCCCAAGATCTCCCATTACTATCACAATCCTGGTACAACTTTAAAAGCCCCACAGTCTTTAAAAAGTTCAACACTTTAAAAGCCCAAGGTCTCTTTAAAAATCCCGAGTCTCTTAACTGTGGGTTCCTACAAAATCCAAAATAGATTACATACTTTCTTTTATCAGAGTGAAGAACCAGGCACAGTTATAATAAAACAAAAACTCAAAATTCAGCAGTATATATCAAGTCCTGTAGCTCAGTGTCCAGCATCTGGGGCCCACTCACAATCTTCTGGGCTCCAAAGAGCTTGGACAGTCCCATGTCTAAGACTCTGCCATCCACATCATACATAGCTTGTCTCATGGGCTTAGGTCAGCTTAATGTCACACCTGCCACTGTCCTGTGATCCTGGCATCCCCAATATCCTGGGGTCACCACTGCAACTGAGGTTGTACCCTCACCAGTGTCCTTTCTTGGCCCCTGAAGGGACTCTGACCCCACCACACAGTGCCAGACCTCAGCTGCTCTCCATGACCCCTTCATGCCTTCAAAGCCAGTACCATATGGGAGACTTGAATACACTATTTGCCAAGTTCTGCTGCCAGGTTCATGTGCAGCCTTGACCTCCTATGGTCAGTTGCTGCTGTGTGCTGACCCTGGAGAAATGTTTCCCAGATTTCATCCCAACAATGTAGTCTCTTACTAATCACAGGTGATTCTTCAGCTCTGTCTAACCAGCATTGATTGTCCCAATAAAGCAAAGGTTTCACTTCCATAGACTCTTAACTCAAATATATCATATAAACTGCCCTGATGGAGTTTTTGAGGGATTCTTATCTTCTTTCTGAAACTTTACAGGCCAGGCTTCTATTGTCTATTTTTTTAAAGTATTCTCCAAGTTCCCACAGAACAGCTCATTAAGCTATGAGCACTCAGTGGCTTTTCTAGCTCAAAGCTCCAGATGCTTCCACAATCTTCCCCGAAACAATCACCTTTCCCTCTAAGACCCCCTCAACACTGTTGCATTGGGATTATGTTTCTAATACATGAACTTTTGAGTACATGTTCAGACCATAGCAGAGCCAAGTTATGGGGACAGAGAAGCTACTGGAGACCTGTCCCTCGGTGACTGTCAACTAAGGAAGCTTGTTCTTCTCAGACACAGGCCCTTCTTGCCCTGGCCTCTGTTCCATGTGCTTATTTTTCAATGAAGTCCCTACTCTAGGAAAGTGGTGAATATTTCGGTGCTGACTCAAGGCGAATGCTGCTGTTCGCTTCTCCCGGGAGCTTGCAGTACAGGAGGTTGTGATAACAGAAAGGATGATGGACAGGCACAGGTGACCGAGGAGCAGCCATAGACACTGGAAGGTAGCTAGGATCAGCAGCTGAGCAAGTGTCCAGGGGCTTGTGAGGATCCTTGCCTGTCTGACAGGAGACCTTGAACTTTGTGAGGACAGTGACCACCCTCCAATAAGAGCCTGGGGTACAGCCCTGCCTGTTGAATGCATCTCTACCCTAGCCAAATCATACCCCAGACACACAAGTGCTGGGGACAGTGCCTGTAAATGTCTTAATTCCAGGTTCAAGTCTTTCAAAAGCTTTTCTTAAAAATGAAAACATTTTGAGGAATTTGAGTTAATGTGTCATTTAATCTCAACCTTTATAAAGGCATAAAGAAAAAGTTTTGAAGTTTAAGCTATAAATCAGTCTGTTGTTCCTTAGCAGATTCTTAGCTTTGATTTTTCTAAAATAACAAGGATAAAATATGAAATGTTTCATGAAAAAAGGCACATTTCTTATATGTCATTCCTTCCAAACTGTTCCAAAATAATTTTTTTTTAAAGTTAAGGCAGAATTCACAAAACATAAAGTTACCCACTTTAAAGTAAGTATAACTAGTTCAGTCTTTTAGAACATTTGCAATGTCTTACAGCCATCACCCCTGTGTAATTCCAGAATATTCTTGTCACATAACAGTTTTTGTAAATGGTATTTATAGAATGTATGAGGACTTTTGGCATCCATGAAAACGATTAATGTTCAATGTTCATTTGCCATAAAGGAGTGCTTTATAATTTGAAACTTATAGTTTATGTTTAGTGGTTCTGCAGAGTAGGGTGGGGGTCCTTTGGGACTGCTGTCTACTGTGAATAGATTTTGTAAAGGAGGCTGGGCTGGGTCCATCTGTTTGTTTACTGGAATCAAAGGAAATGAGAACACTGAAGGACTTCATCATTGGTTCAAGAAGGGGACACTGGGTTGGTAGGTTTCAGAGGGTAGAGATGGATGGCATTTGCCAGAGGAGGAAGAAAAGCATAATCCAAGATTATTGAGAGGGGACAGAGAAGGAAAGAGGTTTGGAGAGGGAGGGAGGAAGAGAGGAAGAGAGGAAGAGAGAAAGAGAGAGAGAGAGAGAGAGAGAGAGAGAGAGATATCTGCTTTGAGAGCTCTCCTTCCAGGAGGAAGAGAGAGAGAGAGAAAGAGAGAGAGAGAGAGAGAGAGAGAGAGAGAGAGAGAGAGAGAGAGCCTATTTAGAAATAGTGCTTTATTGTGAATACAAAAATAAGTTCTCATCTTGGAAGCCTGACACACTATAAAATGTTCCCAACAGTTTTCCTTCTCTTCCTGTACCCAATTCTTTTCCTTTCGATTTTTTCTAATTGTAATGAGGATGTGTGCAGTGCAGATAAAACAGGTACTGAATGTGAATACAAGTGATGTTTGAGGCAGACCTGGATGACTTTGAAATTATTGAACTTACAAAGCAAATGCTTTTAATTGGTGTATTTATGTTTAGGTGCACACAACATGTGAGTGTGGGGATATACTTTGCACAAATGCCTATGATGTACTCAGTATTCTGATATGCCAAAGAATGTATGCTGGGAAAGGTGACCCCAGAAATGGATGTGGATTAACAAATTCACAGAGCCGTCCCTCTTCCTCTCCCAGATGAAGAATGTGAAAGAAAAGTGGATTGCTTCTAAATATACTTAAAAAGTAAACATCAGGAATGGGTTCATGGAGGTCAGAGTGTAGTGCAAATGTAC